GACTATGCAGGTTATCATGCTCCAAAAATGGCGTCCAAAAAGATCCACAAAACAACACTAATATAGATCTAAGCTATTAATCATCAAGTTTGAGACTTTGTACCTCAGAAAGTTGCCAAAGATAGACGAGATCCCAGATCTAGTGCTTCTCCTCAAGCTCAATGACCTTCTAATTCTTCCAAGTCCTTCACCAATCACAAGAACACACAAAAATCCACTCAAAACCTCTAGTTTCTCAACAAGGAGCTCACAATACAATTTAAGGTTTTAAGGAGGCTGATGAGGTCTGATGGGGAAGGATTAAGTCCTTTAAATAGAATGCAGAACCCTAGAAATTAGGGTTTCCTGCCAGCTGGTCTGCTCGTCGAGTTGAGGCCTCTCAACTCGTTGAGTATGTTACTTAAATCAGGCGGTCCTGATAATCTCTACTTGACGAGTTTGGGGCTTCCAACTCGTCGAGTTGCTCTGTAACATTAATAAATTATAAATTAAAATCATACTAGGAACCAGGCGTTATAGTAGGTTCAAGCATTTAAAACACATTTGCATCCTATTATTATGATTGATAGAACACATCTAAAAAATGAAATACTTGGGCATGATGTTCTTAGTAGTAGGCAGGGACGGTAATAATTGAATCCTTCCTATATCATTTGGTGTTGGAAAAACATGGATATTATTTTATAGCAAGACTCTAAGACTGTATTATGGATATGGACTCTTTCGCTATCAAGTATGATAGAGCCAATTCCATTGAAATGGCCATTTAAGTCATCTTACCCAAACACTCTATTGTCGTCATTTGTTGATGAATATGAGAGCAAAGATTGGAAAACAAGACATAATCAAAATTTTATTTTTGGAGACTGCAAAAGCTTATTGGGAGTCTTATTTCAAAGAAAGCTTGGCTAGATTATGATGTGCACTATCTGATGAATGTCGTACATAGGTAGACATAATAGGTAACCACAAATGGGCAAGGTCATTTTTCCTTGTGGTTCATTATAATTTAATGACATCAAACAATTCCTATTCTATCAATGCGTTATCAAAAGACGCACAGAAACTACCATTAGCAATGTTGTTTGACTTCTTTCGAGGAACAATGTAATAATGATGATGTCAACGACATAATAGTGGATGTACGTTATATAAATTATAGTACTTTCAAATTATTTTACCATAACTTATTATTCATGACAATATGTTTTTATTCTTTATAGCTAAAAGTTTAAAACATGTTATTGAGTATGCTAAGAAGGTTATCAAAAAAGAGGATCAACAAATCCTCCAGTTTCGGGTATACTTGATTGATACAAACAAATTGAAGTGACTGATCAAATTAAAAATGGTATAGTCAAGTTGGAATATTGTTTCTGTACATGTGAGAAATGAAAATTGTTGGGTATACCTTGTACTTATGCTATGGTGGTATTCAAGGAATTGAGATATCAACACTACAATAAATAGGTGTCGTCGTACTTCACAATGGAAACATATTGAGCAACATATATAAAGATTGCATTTCTTATACCAGTTCCAACTAAATTCGAACAACCGGAAGAAGTCATTGTTGTATTACCACCATTGATGGACAACGGACAAGCCAAACTTCCACGAAACCATAATTATATCCCATCCTAACATGAAGATCCGATTTAGAAAAAAAAGCATTTGTTACCTAAGGATCGATCACACAATCGGTAATTGTGATGCTCAGTTTCTAGTAAATTCAATAAAATGGAATCTTCAAGTAAGACTATGTCAAGTGTCAAAAGTAAGAGTAAGTCTAATAGTAGATATAATGTGAAAGCTGGTAAGCAAAGTAGTCAAGAGTATGATATTGTTGATCTAAAGTACCCTTAGTCATGTTTGTGCCAAATTAGAAAATTCTAAAAATGTTTAAAAAGTTGTGTTCGGTCAAATAAACTTGTTTATACTACATTATCATAAGGAAATTGTCTACAACATACACAAACGCCAATACTCAAATGTCAGGTAAATTTGCAGTCTCCATCCATGGCCAACTCTCAGACCTCGACAAAGCAGCACACTCCTGTAGAGTAGGTTGGAACATCTCATTATGGGGAACCTCCATAAAACAATAAATCAATTCTCTCATAGAAACTTATACAATAAAAGTTAAACTAAGATACGGACATTAGTAACATCAAGGACACATGTACAACCATCAGCCTTTAAACGCCTCAACTGAGGGTATGCAACTACCCAAGGGGTACTATCTATCCTACTGTTGGGAAATGTCTCCATGATCCAAATCTATAAAATTAAGATTTCAAATAACTAACAAACATAATAATGTTAAAATACTTTTTGTAGAAAAAGTCTTGTGAAAGATATTGTATATACCTTAAATACATAAACAAATCCTTGCATAAAATATGTAGGTAAAGATAACATTCAACTACTTGTAAGCGAAATCCCATACTATTCTTCCCTATGGCTACCTATGTCAACAGTAGCATGTAATAATTATAAATTAATATATATTTGATATAATATACATTCGCTATAATCTAAATAACTTTATACCTTTTAAACTCATCCAAATCAGAGATGAGTGCAAGATATTCATCTTGAACCGGTTGTCGAGGGTATCTTCGAAAAAATCCCTACTCTAGCATATGCATCAAGGAGACTCTTATAACCAGTGGTTGAACCAGAAATTTTGATATGAGGGTACAAACATTGTCAATATATTATATGTAGTTATAATCTTTTTAGTTGGGAATGCAATAACATAAAATATGTTTACAAATAATATTATATATATATATATATATATATATATATATATATATATATATATAACAAATTTTTGGGGTACTGTAGTACCCTCAACGCCCCCATCTAGCTCCGTCACTGCTTATAACGTCTCCTTCTGATAAGCAATGATTTGAAGTATTAAACAATTGAATAACGTTAGCAACTTTCACTGACTTTGAACCCAAGACAAATGGAAATGCACACTATTTGAACTGTGTCAAAGAAAAAGTAGCCCAAAGATAGTCCCCAAACTGAAATATGGTAATAAAGCAGAAAGCTCTCTTGTCAATGCAAACCCAGTAGTCGCCTATCAGAAATAGAAATTCCTCCTGATCAACATGAGGATAAGTAGTAGTCTCCTTGCACATAAGGTAACAACATAGTAACATATGAAATTCTACCCACATCGACATGTTAACATAAACAATAAAACAGGAAGCCTAAACATGGCCGCATGTTCGGGGTTGTGTAGACGGGTCATGATTTCCCTATCGAGTTTAATTTTGCAGGTTGTAATCATAATTACTTCATATGTTCGGTCATGGTACAATGAAAATAATTTTAACTAGGCAAGTGTTGCATGTTACGGGCTAAAAGGACACCATTCTGGAATAAGGGCATCATTCCAGAATATACTGGAACAGTTCTCAACATTCTGGATATGTTTTGCATATTTCGGAACAATTCTACACATTTCAGATCAACGTATTTTGGACTTGTTTCAAATAAATTCAAAAGTATTTATTCTTTTTTTAAATTCAGTTGTTCTAGTACATACATATACCCACATATAATCATAAAAAAGCCTAAAAAACTAAAATTCGAAGGAAAACGACTTATATTTGTAATCGCATCAACTTATAAGAAAAAAAATGAAAATTTCTTAATTTATCTCTTCACTGTTAAAACAATACATTTTTTTTTAAATTAATGTGGTTCGGAACAATGGGTTTAGACTCTGAAAATGAGGTCCGAATTCCGAAACAGTGAGTTCGAAACAACGGTCCGTCATGTTATTTACAGGGGGCTACATTACTGCATCAAACCACTTTACCCGTTCATTGTTTGGAATTCAGGTCAACATTCTCGACTGAATATTCAATTTTCAAAAATAAATTTAAACAAGTTATCTTTTCAAAAAAAACCACAAAAATAATTAGATTATTCAAATTTCCCTTTGAATATATATTATTAAGATATAGTTGTTTATTTGTATTTTATTAAAATTTAAAAGAGAAAGAGATAGTAACTTGAACTAAAATTACCAGCAACTCGTGGCGGCATGGTGATGGTCCCCTCCCCCTTCCAACCTCTACCTCCTCTGTCTCCAACACACGACCACTCTCCTGCTCCCCTCCCCCCTTCCAACTCCATCCCTAAACTCATATCGTTCACCTACGCATGTGATACGATCTAGGAGAAAATGATATATCGACTGAGGAAAAACATGTGACTTTTCACAGTCCTCCCCACGTCACATGATCTGCGTAAACCCCTTTCATACTAAAATTTTGTTGTTTCTTTAAAACTCACATCATACCCACCCGAATTCGTTTAAGTAATCACTTTTTTTCAGTATTAAGAATTTTTTATTCAATTTAGTCTTAAAAATATGTAAGGGTTTTGAATGTTTTTGTGGGTGTTCAATCTTCTGTATTAAGAGTTTATTGTTTGTTTATATGTCCACAGTGGCTGCTTCCTTTGTTGAGAAGGGAAGTCGATGCCTAAGTCGTCGTATGTGAATTCTTACTTTATTTGGTAGTAGGTTAGATTGAAATTTAGATGTGAAATGTACTTGTATAATCATCTTACTAAAGGAGGGATTTTCCAATAGTTGTCTCTTTGACTCTTTCAACGAAATGGACCATTTTTATAGTTTACTCCAAAATACATAATTACAGAAGTTAATTTACTCGAAACATTAGGATCCAAATTTTGAAAAGTTGTGTTTTTCTGTACAAATAATTCTCAAAATAAAAATTTTAGTATATGATGTAATCCTCAACGTCATATATCTAGAACCAGTTTCTTGGTAATTTCTTATCTCCATATCACAACTCGTAAGTTTCCAAGAAAATTCATAAAAAGAAAAAGAAGAGATGCATCATTATCAAAAGTAGTTGTTGACTTTGACTTCCTTTAGAAAAAAACCACTACATAGCTGCACCCATTACTCTTACTCTGATTGTAAATCTATTCTAAAACAATCCAAAATGGTTATCCTCAATCATACCAAACAACGATCTTCATCTTCTTCACCAATTCATGGTCATAAGTATAAGTATGACGTATTTTTAAGCTTTTGCAGTATGGACACAGGTCGCAGTTTCACAGATCATCTTTGTAACGCCATCAAGCATGCCAATATCACTACCTTCTTTGATGATGATTTGATTGAAACAGGGGTATATTTGAAACCAGGATGGGAGAGTGCCATTAAAGCATCTAGGGCTTCTGTTGTAGTGTTGTCGACGAATTATGCTCATTCACAATGGTGCCTTAATGGATTGGCACTTATCCTCGAGCAACATTCGACAGTTATCCCCATCTTTTATCATGTTGAGCCCAGTTTCTTTGAAGATGCGATGGCTGGGTTTAGACGTGTGATGGAGGCAATGACAAATGAAGATAAAAGAAGTCGATTGGCTGAAAAGATTGACAGGTGGAATAAAGCATGTACACAAGTTGCTACATTAAAAGGGATGCAATTAGGTTTCGATCGGTAATCACTTTCTTACCCATATTTCCACTCTCCTTCATTTTGTTTGCTTCAGGTGTGTCAATATAATCTTCTTCATTTATATTCATTACAATAGGCTTCTTCAACTTCGATCAATATTGACATATTTTTAATTTATTCAAATTAGATAAAGAAGATGCATAACTGATCTATGTTTTCAATTATGTGATATCATATATGAAATCGTATATAGATGGATAATTGTAGTGACAAATTTTTATTATAGCACAAGCTAAGTTATTTAGATAAAACAATTTAAATAGTTTTATACGCTTTCTATTAAAAGCCAAAGTTTGAACGATATGCTATTTTCGTGGCATTTTTGTTGAGATTCATGCAAACCCACATTGATAACCAGTTTGAAGGTCTTGTTGAAACATAATATTATTTTATTATTTTACCATAAGTTAAGTTATTTAGATAAACCATTTTAATTTTATACATAAACGTTACGCCAATACACATTATATATCTATGTGGTTACAAGTGCAAATATGATATGGAAAACTTAATTAAACATAATAGCTTAACATGTGCCATTTTTATTTTAGCTATAGATAAATAAAATCTTCAAAATTGATGTGTTAGTTTTTTGGATTGTGTTTTGCATGTTTTATTTAAATCAAGTTAATTCCAGGCGAGAGACAGAGTTTATTCAAGATTTTGTTAAGTACATCTACCGTAGATTACGCATATCCACAAGGAGTCCTCTGCCACTAGACCGGAGGTTTCATCGAAAGGTTAGTTACGGAAATAGTGTATATAAGTATGTTTGTTACACACAGGTTCAATGTTAATTAGTCCAGGTCATGTTTCAGATGAAACAACCAAATATCCTCAAATTCCCTTTACACACCATAAAAAGTTGTACCCAAGACTTCAATGAAAGAAATATCATTGGGAAGGGTGGATACGGAAGGGTCTACAATGGAATCCTCACCTGGGGAGATCATGTAAACGAGCAAATTGCTGTAAAACGGCTAGATGTCACTAATGGTCAAGGTAACAAGGAGTTCCGCACTGAGCTCACAATGCTTTCACAGTATCAGCACAACAACATTGTAACCCTTTTAGGGTTTTGTGATGATAACAAGGAAATGATCCTAGTTTACGAATATGCAAGCCATGGAAGCCTTGACACACATTTGCGTAACCCTTCGGCTGGACTTTCATGGCCACAACTTCTCAAAATATGCATTGATGTTGCTTCTGCATTGGACTATCTTCATAATCAAGTCGCAGAAAAGCACAGAATAATACACCGTGATATAAAAAGTGCAAATATTTTGTTGGACCAGAATTGGAATGCAAAACTTGGGGATTTTGGGTTGGCTAGGATAGGACTAGCAAATCAACAAAACACCATAGTGATCACTAACCCTGCCGGTACACATGGTTATTGTGACCCACAATACGAAAGAACAGGTTCATTAACAAAAGAATCGGATGTCTACTCTTTTGGTGTTGTTTTGTTTGAAGTTTTGTGTGGAAGGTTGGCGTGTGTTCTAAGTTACCATGATGAGCGTCGGTTCCTTCATCGATTTGCTCCAACTTGCTACAAAAATGGTGAGCTAGACAAGATAATTCATCCAAAAGTAAGGAAAGACATCAAACCAAAAGTGTTGCGCAAGTTCTCAGGTATTGCTATGCGATGCTTGCATGAAACTCGGGAAGAACGACCTACAATTGTTGAGGTTGCGTCCCAACTTAAGAAGGCCATGAAAATGCAAGTAAGTTTGAATATCATGTTTTTTTTCCATTTTAATAATTTGCATAATAATATTCTGAGGCACAATATAAGATTAGTTGCTTGACATAAATATTTTTTGATTGATCATCACTTTGAAGGTGACATCCTCTAGGATGTGTTAACTCGGACACTACCTCCTTCATGACATTGATTATCAACTCCCATGATGCTCGGGATTCGAAGTCTAGTTTCAGTTTAGGTTGTTCAATGTTTCTATAATCGATGCACAACTCCTTGTTTTTTTTCATCTTCAATTTTATGGTTATTTTTGTTATATTTTTTTTTCCTCTTATACAATTTTGTGTAATTATTGCTCATTCTTCATCACTACTTAGAAGATAAGATCCCTCCAAATGTGAAATTACTTTTGAGGAGGTTACCACCATGACAACGTGCAACATCAAGATATTAAAAGAAGAGACCATCCTACCTAAAATTTCTCGTGTCATGTTCTTGAATTTTTTTAGGAAGGAAAGAGATGGGAAGGAAATGAACACTCCGTTTCCGAATTCAACTTAACAAAAGAAAAGAAAGGAAATGGGTGGAAGTGAGAAGAAAATAAAAGAAATTAGTGTTCCCGAGTTTCAGTAAAAGATAGAAGTGGAAGGAAATGGAAGGATCACTTTCCCTCCTAATTTTTCTTCCGATTTGGAAGAATTTGGAGAGATAGAAGAAAATGTTTAATTTTCCTTCCATTTGTCATCAACTCGGGAACACAAAAGACAAATTTGTTTTCCTTTCCTGTCTTTTCTTTTCTCTCATACAACTCGGGAACTAGGCAGAAAGGTTAACAACTCTTTCCCTCCAAATCATCCTAAAAATGGGAGGAAATGAATCTTAGAAAAAATCCTTTGCTTCCCCACTCAATCCCTCCATTTTCTATTCTTTCCTTTCTTATATGAATCTCGAGAACACTTATTTCCTTTCAGTTCCCTCCCTTTCCCTCCTAACAAAAACTCAAGAACACATATTTCCTTCTATTTGCTTCTCTTTCCTCCCCTTTCTTTCTTTAAAAAAACTTGAGAATAGGGCATTAAAGTTGGCCACCATGAAAACATGATGCAAACTAACATAATTTAAAAGGATTCTGCAAGGAGAAACTAAGAGATGGAATTCAAATTTTTGTAAATAGAAAAAATGATTAAGTAATAAGAGAGACTAAAACAACCATTGTACTTAAATTTTTCTGAAAAAAATAAATAAAAATATATAAATTCTTGCAATAGGCCAACATCCAACCATTCCCCAACGAGAGCCTACACTACACAAATGGGTACCGAAGTGCTCCAAAAGGCATTGTGCAAGTGGGTCCTCCATTTTGTAATGGAGCCTGCTAAATGGATGAGTATAAATGATAAAATTTTAGTATTTTTTGTTTTTATTTTTAATCGAAAATTTATTTTGAAATTTTGTGGAAATTTACATTCAAGTGTAATATATGTTCAAATGTCGTATTATAGAGGTAAGATTTCTTAGTGTGTAACGATCTAATTTTCCAAAGGAAAAAATTTTTATTTTTAAATAATCAAAATATTTCCAATAAACCACAAAATCTCAAGAACAGTTGTTTTCAATCTCATAACATCAACAAGTTTATTTCAAATATCAGAGTGTCCCATAAAAACGCCTGAGAGAGTGCATGACGCGCCATTAAGCCTTGCCTTTGCCCTTAGGCTTAGAAGTACCTAAAACAATCTAACAAATTGTAAGATGATGCTTAGTGAGTTCCTCAGAGTACACCCGACACAATCCACACAATCCACATAATCACATAATCCATATTAGCAATAAAAGCTATATAAACCATATAAGGAATGCACACAACATATAAGGATATTGTGGGTTCCCCCAGGGTCTTACTCCAGGATGCCATCGGCTGCCCATATGGTCTTACATCTAAATTTCATGGCCTCTCCCATGGTATTTAATGGGAAAGCCATGGGCTCTCCACATGGTCTTATATCCAAGTGTCATGGGCTCTCCCATGGTCTTCCATACTAATATACCACATATACTTAAGGGTTTTGAGCATTCTAACACTCCTAAGGTGTGCATACAACCCCTGAAATCTTGGGTGTATGTTTTCTTTATTATACATGCAAACTTTCATTTTTCCAATGTTTCATCCTAACTAGCATATCATGAAGTATATGTAATACAAAAATCTACTAGAATGACATACCTTTTCTTGTAGCTTGATTCCTTAAGCCTTTAAGAGCCTATCACCCCAAGTGTGATGCCTCAAATGCTTCATACAACATCACCAACAAATGGAAGAACTTGAGAGAAGTGTACTTGCACACAAAATTCGGCTAGCCCCCATTCCTTTCACTTAGGTGCCAATTTTGGTAGCCTTAGGATCTCTTATATAGTGTGGCAAGCTGGTGTCACACCATGTAAACCCTAATGACTTTCCATATCCCTCATGCTCCATGGGTTAAAACCTCCATGGATCATCCATGGGTCACCACATGGGTTTAGCCCAACATAAAGAACTATGGATCATAAGCCCACTTTATAAGAATGAATGATTTACCAAATCAACCCCGTATATTTAATTAGTCTCTTTTGATCACAAAATTAATTCCAAATTAATTCTTGATCAATACTTATTAAATAATAAGATTTCATATTAATATATTAGAACTTATAAGATATTAATAAATCATAAATATCCTCTTCTTAAAAGTCCATCATTTATATTGTTCCGGTGCCATTCAACCCAAATGTACAGTGCTACTCTCGGGTCAAGTACATACCAATTATAGTTATGAGCTTAGACACTAAATCCAACAGTCTCCCACTTGGATAAGTCTAATAACTATAACTGCAAGTATGAGTTAAAACACCGACTAGCAATCGTTCTTAAAAGCCTCTGTCAAAACGAGACGCTCCATTTTAGATAAGTAATCATATAATCCTCTGTTCAAGATATCAGCCGGACAAATACATGGAAAAACGTCATACTTATTGTCCAAGAGTTTGTTTCCTGATTTCCGATTTGTTTGACATAGAACTCAATCGAACACATCAATTTAGTTCTGACCGGGCCCGGAATATAAGTCAAAACAAAATCATCGAGGGGCCCAAGATATCGTTTTTAATCCCCCAAGGACTAAAAGAAACAGATAAACTTCGACTCATATGCTTGTACTAACTATTCATCAAATTGTACACAACAACACGTTTTATAACATCGAGTTACCGATGCGTTTTCATACTATCAATGTACAACCAATTCATAGTCAACAACTCATATATCTAGGTTTGAAGACTTATATGATATTATCATCTCACGATCACTCGAGAAAAATTCCATGAAGTGATACAAGTGAGCGCGGGTTGAATTCAATACTCAGACCTTATGAGCACTTATGAATGTTGCAGCAAACTTTGCTATGTCTAATACCATTAAGACAAATCTACAAACCAAATTCATGAAAGTCTTGATTTAATACCTACTTCCAACGAGTGATCGACTGTGGATATTTTGAATAATGTAATTATTCTGGAAGTTAAAACATGAAAAAATGAAACAATAGTAAATGATTGACACAAGAAAGTACCATACTAGTAAATAAAAAGCATATTTTATTTAAACATCAAATATCAATCACATTTCAACTATTAAACATCAATAGTTACTTTTAATATTGGAGGTGGGGACTGGGTAGAGAGAGATGGGGGGAGGTGGTATGATAAGGAGGTGGTGGGTGGGCATTTCTTTTATTTTTACTTAATTAAAAACACTGAAATAAGTGTAAAAAATGTAAAACAAGTATAAGGGTTATAATAGGCATTCAGGTTGATAGTAAACAAAATTGATAATAAGTTAAGTTTGGTAGAAATCTGATTTTAGACCACTTATGTAAGTCAGAACGTTTTTGGAACAAAAACAAAGTTTTTTGACAAGGACCTGGACCTTTCTTGAATATTCTCTGAATTTGGGGTACACAAACACCTTCGTTTCATCTGCTAATTCTCATCCATTCCCAAAACAAACTCCATCAAAGTAACCAATCTTTTCCCTTTACCTAATATCCATGGCTGAAATCGTTGCTACCGCTCTTATCAGTGTGATGTGTGAAGAAACTCATCTCTGATGACTTGATGAAGCTGGCACGATCTAAAGGAATTGATACCTAGATGAACAAAATGAAGAATACCTTGCCCATGATCCAAGCTGTAGTTGCTGATGCATGACAGAAGCAGATAAAAAGAGAGTAGTTCAACTGTGGCTCAACAATTTCCATGATTTGGCTTACGACATAGATGATGTACTCGATGATTTGGTTACTGAAGCTATTCAATTCAAGTTGGATCGGGAATATGATTCCAACACTAACCCCAACTCCAGCAGTAGTAAGGTATTCAAGTTCTTCCCAACTTGTTTTACTAATTTTAGTCCTAGTTATGGGAGTCGGTTGAGTTCTAAGCTAGATGAGATTACCACAAAATTGAATGATCTTGTTGAGGTGAAAAAATGTCTGGGTTTTGTTGTAAATGTGAATGTCGACAGCTCAAATAGAATTGAGATACGATTGGAGCAAACTTCACTGGTTGATGAGTCCAAAATTATAGGTCGGGATGGGGATAAAGAAGCATTGTTGGGGAAGTTGTTAGGGAATGATGAAAAAATGAGGATAGTGTCCATAGTTGGTATGGGTGGGATTGGAAAATTCACTCTTGCTAAAATTTTGTACAAAGAAGAGAAAGTGAAGGATCACTTTGATCTCAGGGCATGAGTTTGTGTTTCTGAAGAGTTGGATGTACTTAATATTAGCAAGGTTATATTTCAAGCTGTAACTAGGGAAAAACAGAGATTTTGTTAATCTTGATCTGCTTCATGTGGCTCTCAAAGAAAAACTTTTAATGAAATGGTTCCTATTTGGTCTAGATGATGTGTGGAGTGAAGAAAAAAGTAAGTGGGAACTCCCCCAAATCCCTCTTATAGGGGCACCTCGAAGTAAGATTATAGTCACAAACTGCAATATCATGGTTGCATCAGTGGTGGACTCAAACGAATCTTACTACTTGGAGCTTTTGTCAAATGTAGATGCTCTATCTTTATTTTCTCAACATTCGCTTGGTGAAAACAACTTTGAATTGCATGGTGAAGGTATTGTAAAGAAATGTAGTAGATTTCCTTTGGCTTTGAAAGCACTTAGGAGGGTCTTGAAGACAAATAGAAATGGTTATGAATGGGAAAAGTTTTTGAATAGTGATATATGGGATATAGATGATGGAAGGGAGATTCTTCCAGCTCTAAGACTAAGCTATTATTATCTCCCTCCACATTCGAAGTTATTGGTTGTTCCTTATTTCCCAAGGACTATGTGTTTGACAAAAAAGAATTAGTCCTACTGTGGATGGCCGAAGGATTTTTGTTGCAACCAAATGGAAACAAGGCAATGGAGATTCTAGGTCATCAATATTTTGAGGAGCTAAAGTTGAGATCATTTTTTCAACATTCAATGAATGTCGATGTAAGATATACTATGCATGATCTGATAAATGACTTGGCCACAAGTGTTGCAGGAGATTTAGTTTTTAGATTGGATGATGAGATGGATTCGTCCGACAAGAAACAAAGTTTTGAGAACTTTCGTCAATTTTCACTTGTAGGTCTACGAGGGGGATCCTATAGAATGCTCAATGAATTACAAAGAGCTAGATGCTTATGAAGTTTCTGAACAATGTCTCGAGTGGACAATGCTTTTGCTGAATTACTTTCACAACTACAATTCCTAAGGGTTCTAAGACTAGCTAATTACGTAATCTCAGAGGTACCACAATCCATTGGTAGTCTCAAGCATCTGCGATACATCAACTTTTCTTATACGACAATAAAATATTTACCGGAAGCAGTAAGTGACCTCTATAATCTACAGAGCTTGTTGGTTCATGGATTTTCAGAGTCATACGACTTGCCAAAAAGTTTTGCAAAGTTAATAAACCTATGACATCTTGACATTAGTGTTACTCCAAAACTCAAGAAGATGCCTTTAGGGATTGGCGCATTGACAAATCTACAAACTCTACCCAAGGTCATTATGGAACGAGCCAACAAGTTCAAAATATCCGACCTTAAGATCCTTTTAAATCTTCAAGGTCGAATATGCATTATGGGGCTAGACAAAGTGATAATTCCAATATAAGCACATGATGCCAATTTACATCAAAAGGTCTTGATATTTTGGAGATTACATGGAGTGATGTGTTTGATGATGGTTTGCAAAGTCTCACATGTCTCGAAGAATTGAGGATACATGGTTGTCCAATATAGACTACTCCTTTCCTTCTGGTGTTTGGGCTCCTAATTTAAGTAGCCTATTCATAGGAGGCTTAAATAAGCCCATGTCAGAGTGGGGCCCAAAGAATTTCCCAACCTTACTAGTTGAACTACAGTTATATTACCATAACTCGGGTGGATTCATTTGCAGTGGGAGAAGATGTGAGGGATACTACCACTTCATCATTTATTCTTCCATCAACTCTACCACATCAGTACTAAAGTTCCATTCTTAATTGAAGTGGGCTTTCAGTTTTTTGTAACTTTTGATGTTTAAAACATTATCTTTAAATTATTAGTATTATTAGTTTTGAGACATGTTTGTTTTGTTTATTGATATGAAGACTATTTTAAAATTTTAACTAATAATCAAATATTCTACTATTTAAATTATAGAGAGTTGATCATTACATTTATCCTGGATGAAAATGCATTCTGTTGATACATTCAATAAAACAACTGTGTGCTTGATTACAGGGAATAACCAGCTTTTGTTTTTCCTCTTCAATAGTCTAATGTACTCAAATCACTCATAACATCTATAAGTGTACACCACTTTGTTTTCAAGTTTTGTTCATTTTAGTAGTTAATTAAGTAAAATTAATATATATATATATATATATATATATATATATATATATATATATATATATATATATATATATATATATATATACATATATAGATATATGTTATTTGGGCCTCTTGATCCAAGCAAGTCTGGTCCAACTGAAAAGGGGCACCAACAGCACGTTAGTTCTATACCTAAACATTTGGCGGCAAAGTGAAGTTCATTTGCATGACTCTTCAGTCTTCTAAATAACATCACACGCCCAATAATTGCAGTTGAAGAAGACGAGGCACCCGATCAATGAAGCTCTGGAGGAAATGAAGCAAACAAATACTAAGGATGTTTTTCACCAAGAACTTTCTCATAAGTATAGTGACGAATCTAGAATAGAATTCCACGTGGTTCCTAATTAAGTGCAGACGGAAAAATCAAAGAGTCAACGTTATATATGACATCGGGTCGGGTCGAACCAATAAAAAAACGACAGGTTTGTAAATACTCGAGTTCAACCGGATCGATGGAATAGCTAAAAGTTGGTAAAATCAGTCTACTCAACCATAAAACCTGATTTTTTGTAACAAAAAAGAAAGCTACTTTGCATGACCGAATCTCTTTCTTTTTTAAAAAGTTCATTTGCAACAGCTATTTTGTACGACCAACAATATGAGACGAGTTGGTTTTTTTTTTTTTTCCTATTACAATTCATAATTTATTTTTATAACATCAAACAGCTTCAACTCTTTTTATTTCAGATTTGTGAAAGGTTTTGAAAGTATTAACCATTTACTTTGAAATTTAAATATAAGTCGTCCATTATTATTTTTTATTTATTTGTTTTCATATTTTGTCAAATAGTATTACCTAGGTCCTAATTTTTTTTTAAAGGTAGTTCCTATTTTTTTATATACAATTACTATATAAAATTAAAAAATTAGGTGGGCCTAGTGTTGGGTTTTAGATGAAAATTAGTTTCATAAAACGAGAAGCATTCTAATGTCTTCATGGTTGTGAATTTTTTATTAAAAACATGAGCACTTATCTTAAAGAAACATTCCTGTAATGATTATGTGAGTTATTTGTGGATGATATCTATTATTGTAATTTTTTTATTTTTTTAAAGTTCCATAGTTTAGTTGATGACAAATTAGTTATGTTCTATGTTTGACCTCTAAATTGCATCTATATTTTCATTCTTCTATATATGTGTATTGCTGTAAGTAAATGTTTTTGTTAATGGCAAAATGTTTAAGTAATGATAGCAATACATTCGTAAGCATTAGCTCTGGTTTATATCTAATTATCTCATCTATTACTAGTGTGGGTCTCTTCTAATCTGTTTGCAGTCCCTAGATCAGTAAACAAGAGAAAGATCAAGATTGGAGCCTTTTAGTTATTGTTTCATTTTGTTAAGTACAAGATTCGATAGAATTGACGTTTTTAATCAAAACTTAACCATTGTTGATTTGTTGGTAATAACACGGTCAAACTTTGTATAAGATGACTAATTGTATTTATATATTGTTATACTTTTCTTTATTTCATATCTGTCCTGCCTTTCAAATTACGGATACTTCGTTCTTTCACGAGAATAGATGTCAGGACAAAATGGGTGATTTAACAAACTCCAAAATGGTACATCTTGGTAAAGTTGGTGATGAGTATCAAAAGGATGATGCAAGATCGAATGGTTACCTTATTATGCTAACAGAAGAAACTCAAGCAAAAGGGGTGTGAAAACTTATTGGTTAGAGCAAACTCAAGCGTACCTATATATGTTTGTTTTATCTCGAAAACTTCTTGTGATTTGCTAAAAGTATGTTATTTTTTCAATTTTCTTCTAATTTTGTTTCAGTCCAAATTGGCTGAGGTTCATGTAAGGGACTTGTTGTATGTCAATTATATTGCAGAGCAACCAGGTAAGCCATCTTACAGAAGTATTAAAACTGTGGTTACTAGTGTCCACAGTTAAAAGAAAAAATGTGCCTCCAAAGTCAAAAATATAATAAAAATTAAATTGAATATATACACATCGTTATGAAATTCATAAAATTCGTTATTAATATAGCCACAACATTACAAAAACAACTAATTTTAAAAAAAAATACTCCTAACATTTTTAGATAATTTAATTTTTTTCTCTCTAAGTATACCATATACTTTAGCAGTTTCGGGCCCTTTACTAACATAGGCCTTGGGCAACATGTAAAATCTTGACTCCCAGGTATAATATTTATGTATTTATTTATGAAATGATTGAACAAATCGACGAGCTGGATGCCCGAACTCGCCAAGTAGAGACGGATGGGCCACATGGGTTTTATGACCAACTTGACGAGTCGGAAGGACCAACTCGGCGAATTGGCGCTGTGAGAGGAAACCCTAAATCTCCAGGGTTTGTTCCTATTTAAAGGACCTTAAGTCCTCATTTCCACCTCACCAACCACCTTACTCCCCTATGTGAAACCCTAATTATCCATACTGATCTAAGAGAGAAATAGAGTTAATCTTTAGGCATTTTAATACACTCTTGGAAGAGAAGAGAAGAGTATCAAAGCAAGAAACGAGAAGAGAGTGTTGGATCTGGTGTTATTTCATCTAGAGCTTCTGTTGAAGGTAAAAAGTTTCCACCTTGCTCATTAGTTTGATTAGATCCCATTTTATGGAGTTTTAGGGTTTATTCCACATTTCCTTGAGACTTTGAGTGTGTTCAGCTTACCAAGAGATTGAGGCTTCATATCTGGACCTTGTGAGGTCCCTAGAGCCCAAAGGTACCAACTCTATCCATCTAATAAAAGAGCTTTCATTTAAGACCGTAAATGGAAGTTGTTTTAATTTGAAGCCCTAAGTGCCATGCATGGACGTAAAGCTTGCAGCTTTACGTGGTATCTCAGCCTTGGGAGGCTAGATCAGAGTTTCGAGTTGTAAATCTGCCTTAAAACATTTGAATGAGAAAAGGGTCTGGAGGGACTAGATGAGTCGATGAGCTGACTCGGCGAGTCGGCTAGGGTTTTCCCCGACGAGTCTGGACATGAGTAACTCAGCGATTTGATGAGACAACTCAACGAGTTAAATTGGTTTTTCGCGACATTTCTGAAGGAATGAGGGGACTCAACAAGTTACATAGTTGCCCTCGACGAGTCGTGACATTTACTCCTAACAGATCATGTTGTAGTGACTTGGGAGAGATTTAAGCAATTGTTCCGAGACGAGTATGTTCCCACGGTGGAGAGGGAACGATTAGCCTAGGAGTTTCTATCTCTCAATCAGAAGACAGAATCTGTGACTGAGATTTCGAGGATGTTCCATGAGAGAGCACTGTTTTTCCCTGAGCACGTGTCTATTAAGCAGGCACGTGTGACCCGATATCTGAGGATACTAAGGAGGGATATACGGGAGTTTGTGGCGAACTCTTCATACTGGACATTGGCTGAGCTTCAGACCAATGCTAGGAGGTGGGAGATTGAGCTTGAGTTGCAGACCAGAGTGAAGGAGGAGTCTCAGGGTAGAGACAACAAACCAATACAGTCGCAGCCGACGACGAAGCGGGAAAAGCCCGCTGATGCGAGAGCTGGAGGCCAAAAGGGCCACACTTATGGCAAGTGCGGCAAGAGTCACAAGGGATCATTTCGGGCAGGGATTTGCTATAAACGTGGCAAAGAGAGGCATATGGAAAAGGATTGCCCCAAGGGGTTTGCAATTTGCTTCCACTGTAACCAGACCGGCCATCGGAAGGTCAAATGTCCTCAGCTCATTCAGGGATTAGCCCAGGGTTCTGCTCCTGCTGCTTTACATGCTACTGATATTCGGTCGGTGAAGGACGA